TTTTTTTTTTTTTTTTTAGTAGAGATGAGGTCTTGCTATGTTGCCCAGACTGGTTTTGAACTCCTGAGTTCAGGCCACCACACTTGGCCTGAATTTATTCTTTTTTTTTTTTTTGAAGCGGAGTCTCACTCTGTCGCCCAGGCTGTAGTGCAGTGGCACGATCTTGGCTCACTGCAAGCTCCGTCTCCCGGGTTCATGCCATTCTCCTGCCTCAGCCTTCTGAGTAGTGGGGCTACAGGCGCCCGCCACCTCGTCCGGCTAATTTTTTGTATTTTTTAGTAGACGGGGGTTTGCCGTGTTAGCCAGGATGGTCTCAATCTCCTGACCTCGTGATCCGCCCGCCTTGGCCTCCCAAAGTGCTGGGATTACAGGCGTGAGCCACCGCGCCTGGTCTATTTTTTTTTGTGAGACAGAGTCTTGCTCTGTTGCTGAGGCTGGAGTGCAGAGGCACAATCTCGGCTCACTGCAACCCTCTGCCTCCTGGATTCAAGTGATCCTCCTGCCTCAGCCTCCCGAGTAGATGGGACTACAGGCCCCCACCACCATGCCCAGCTAATTTTTGTACTTTTTTTAGAGATGAGGTTTCACCATGTTGCCTAGGCTGGTCTCAAACTCCTGGGGTCAATCGTTCCCCCTGCCTCAGCTTCTTAAAGTACTGGGACTATAGGTGTGAGCCAATGTGCTCAACCTGAATTTCTTCTTTTTTGCTTGTTTGTTTGGTTTGGTTTGTTTTGAGATAGGGTCTCACTCTGTCACCCAGGCTGGAGTGCTGTGGCACAATCTCAGCTCACTGAAGCCTCCGCCTCCCAGGTTCAAGCAATTCTTCTACCTCAGTCTCCCAAGTAGCTGGGATTACAGGAATGTGCCACCACATCCGGCAAATTTTTGTATTTTTAGTAGAGACGGGGTTTCACCATGTTGGCCAGCTTCATCTCAAACTCCTGACCTCAAGTGATCCAATCGCCTCAGCTTCCCAAAGTGCTGGGATTACAGGTGTGAGCCACCGTGATTGGCCGGCCTGAATTTATTCCTATGAAGTAGTTTGTCTTTACCTACGACGCTGATACTGAGAGATTGTTTTGCCCAAAAGAATACAGTTGCTAATGTGTGGGGAAACAGGATTGCAGTCTAGTTCTGCCTGATTCCACTGTTCTCCCTGGCAAATATTATCCTCAGGAGAAAATAACAGCAGCCAATGCTGACTTAGCCCTACTCACCAGGCACTATGTGCCTTAAAATACAGTATCTCATTAAATCCTCACAGCGCTCCTATGAGGTAGATACTATTATTTTCTTTCTTTCTTTTTTTTTTTTTTGAGACAGAGTCTCATTCTGTTGCCCAGGCTGGAGTGCAGTGCCACAATCTTGGCTCACTGCAACTCTGCCTCTCGGGTATAAGCGATTCTCCTGCTTCAGCCTACCAAGTAGGTGGAACTACAGGCACATGCCACCACGCCTGGCTAATTTTTATATTTTTAGTAGAGACGGGGTTTCACCATGTTGTCCAGGCTGGTCTTGAACTCCTGACCTCAGGTGATCTGCCTGCCTTGGCCTCCCAAAGTGCTGGGATTATGGAGATGAGCTACTGTGCCTGGCCCTTGTAATTCATGCTATTTTAAAATAACATTTCAGAAGAATTTTTTATGAACTGGAACACAAAAATAATGAATTAAATAGAAAAGCAAGATACAATGTGTGTGCCTATAACCCCATCTTCCAACCTACATACATATGCATGAATATATGCATATATTTCAAAAACAAAGAGATTGTTTTGCCCCAAATACTACCAGTAGTTAAATTGTAGATTATGAATGATTCTTGTCCTTTATTCTTTAATGTATTTTCAAAGATTTCTAAAATAAGCACTCTTCTGGTTTTTCAAAAGTAAAACTTTAAAAAAGATCTAGAATCTGCTGGCGGGAGAACACACAGAGGGAAACCGTGACCTCCAGACGTGAGTGGCCCGGCTGCTGGTGTCAAGCTCCACAGAAAGCCGAGTCACCCCTTTGGGGCCAGGGTGTCCTGTGAAATATATAGACCAGGGTCAGGCCAACTCACGAGGCCCAATGGCCTCGGCAGACCTTTCCGGGGAGTGGGCACTCTGCCACCCCAGCCCATATCTTAATGAGATAATGTATGTGAAAGCACTTTGCCAAAGAGAAAACTCTATCCAGATAGGTGATTGCATGGCTTATTCTGGAGAAAGTAGGCTCTCAGAGCACATTCCATTAAGGAATTTCACACTCTATCTCCTCCTCCAAACTCTTCTCTTTTTCTCCCTCCCCTGAACAGAAATATATTTAGCAACCCTATCTAAATCCTCTTCTTTCCCTTAATTTGATTAAGGAGTAAGGGGAACAAGAGATGGAATGGGGGTGAGGGGAGTGGGGTGGCTGAGCTGCGGGGAAAGATTAGAGGAGCTGCATGTGTATCTCCGGCAGAGCGATGGCTGAGTGTGGACAGGACGAGGGCCTCCTGGTACTTAGTACAGAGGCACAAAGGACAGAGGGAGGGGACACAGTTGATCACGAACACACTTCTCTGGGAGAATGAAGACCAAATCAGGGAGGGTCCACCTTCTGGGACTAACTTGGGGGCCACTTCCTAGCGGGGGCACTGGATTCTGAGTCTCCTCTGCTTTCCTGGCGGCTTGGGTCCTCAGAGCCTCAAAAAGTCCCAGGAGGCTGCGTGCGCTGAGCTTTTGCTATGTGTTTGGCACTTTCACATATTTACATAGAACAGCGAATGTATTCTGTTTTTCCTTTTTTCTTTTTTTTTGAGACAGGGTCTTACTCTGTTGCCCAGGCTGTAGTGGCACAATCACGGCTGCAGCCTCAACCTCCCAGACTCAGGTGATCCTCCCACCTCAGCCTCCCAAGTAGCTGGGACCATAGGTACACACCATCACACTCAGCTAATTTTTTTTTTTTTTTTT